CTGGGTGTTATACACAAACAATGAATCATGGAACACTACATCAAAAACTAATGATGTACTACTGTATGGTGAATAACATAACATAATAAAAAAATTAAAACTAGACTTCATGGACATGGAAATGCACATGGAAATGCATGGACTTTCTCAGTGTGAAAGCAGGGTTTTCTTGCCTTTTGAAATAGGAGAGTTCTTCCATTAGTTGGGGGGATGGCAGCCACTGTGCCCTTGTTACCAGGACTTTGTCCTCTTTGGGGAGACTATCTGAGAGAAATCCTAGCTAGGAAAACCAAAAGCAAATACTGTCCCTCCCCTCCCATACTTCACAACCTAGGATACAAAGAACAATCTTGAATGACTTCACCAGTTCTCTGTGGGTGCAGAACACATTCCAGAGGCCCGTGTTTGCTCTGTTTTTTGGCATGGAGGGACAAAACGAAAAAGAATGTGACCTTCAGGCCAGAGGCATAGTAGAGTGATTCTTCTCTTTTAATCCTTTCTTCAAAAAAGAGTTTTACTGAAATAATTGAGCCACAAAAAAGTTAAGAATCTACAACCACCAGGTGCCCACCACCTTTTTAACCAGGCAATCAGTATCTAGGCCATGTACATCTCCTCCCACATTCCATGGCTTTTCTTCCCCATTCCCCGAAATTCATATTCCTGAATTTAAAGGATACACTCTCTAAAGTGATAAACTGTTGTTCTTCTATTTTCTCTTTAAATTATACCATGCATTTAGTTTGAAAAAGACATTAAAAAACAGATACTCCTTTAAATATAAAAACTGTAAACAATTACACATGTCAATATAAGTTCATTACTATAAATACTAACTATATATATATATATATTTTAAATGTTTTACTTATTTGTTCATGAGAGTCAGAGAGAGAGAGAGAGAGAGGCAGAGGCAGAGGGAGAAGCAGGCTCCCCACCTAGCAGGGAGCCCGATGCGGGACTTGATCCCAGGACCCTGGGATCATGACCTGAGCCGAAGGCAGACGCTTAACCCTCTGAGCCACCCAGGTGCCCCAATACTAACTATATTTTCAAAATAGAGGTAGTGAGAACTATGTCAGTGCTTTACACTTCTAGCAGCTTATTGAGACACAATTCATGTATCGTACACTTCACCCATCTCAGATATCCAACTCAGCGGATTTTAGTAAATGGGCCAAGTTGTGGGACCATCACTGCTTCAAGATTAGCACACTGTCATCAGCCCAGGGAGATCCTGTGACTTAGCTATCAGCCCTCCGTTCCCCCATCCCCGCTGCCCCGAGCACCCACCAATCTACACTCCCCCCTTCATTTCCTTTTCTGGACATCCCATGTATGGAGAAGCATATAATGAGTGGTCTTTGGTGACTGGCTTTTTAATTTTGAATAACGCTGTCCAGGTTCGTCCATGTTGTAGCACCAACATCGTTTCTTTTAATAGCATCCATTTAACAGATTTGTTTTCCACGGCTCCTTTCCATGACCATATTGCCAGGACATTAGTCACTCCTTCTGAGCCAATAAAAACACCAACAAGGAGAAAACCCGCATGCAGCTCAGCCCACTGAGGTGACTTGTTTTTACCTACCTAGAGCACAGTGACAGTCTACCAAACCCGATGCAGTCTGTTCACCTTCAAAAGACCCTCAGTTAAGCGATCAGCTCTTTGTTGTTCAGTAGACACCTATTCACAGAGCACTGCCCAAGTAACCACAAGATCTTCAGATGGTCCCAAAGGGACCAATGAGGAAAAGTGGCTCTCTACTCATGACTACACTGAATGTCTCCTATCACTCTGCTTAGCATGTTCCTGTAAAAGGCACGTTCTTTTCTTTATGGAGCATCTGGGCACTGCTCAGTCCCATTAGATCATTTCTCTGACATCCTCTGAGACATGATGAGTAAAACAAGGTTCAAGACTGTATCGTGTCCTTCATTTGCAGAGGCAGTCTTCATTGCCACTCATAGCAGACTAGTAATTGTCTCCCAAATGGGAAAAATACCAGCAATTTTGGTATGCATCATCCTCAGGCATGCCGTTCTACATGACTCTCTATGTTGTATTTTAGGCAGAGTGGTGAATGTGTCTAGCATAATAAGCCTCGTAGCCCTTAAAAAAGTGCAGCCCAGAACTGCAGCAGAAGTTTATAAGTGAGGCCATCACAGAAGAGGAGCTGGTGGGGCTCATGAACAAGTTCGTGGAAGACACAAAGAAAGGCGTGCACAGGAAGGAGGCTGGTCTGATACAGCCTATGGAGTGACAAAAATCGGTGTCACGGTCCTGTCCAGAATCCATGCGAGGAACCTGAGTGAGCAGAGGAAAGGAGACAAGATACTCCCGAATGCCTGCTGCCCTGGATGGGTGAGAACAGATTTGATAGAGCCTAAAGCCATCAAAAGCCCAGAAGGAGCAGAGACCCCTGTCTACTTGGCCCTTTTGCCCTCTGATGCTGAGGAGCCTCATGGGGAGTTTGTTATGGAGAAGAAAGTTGAACAATGGGGACCGCTCTATCAGTTACCCTCATGGCTCCCATCTCAAATCGCACCATGACTGACCAAAAAAACTGTTACACTGTCAACAATATCCTTATCAAACAAACAAACAAACAAAAACAAAAAACAAAAGAACCACTATCCTTACTGAGTATTCACATTGAGATGGCTACTAATTCTGTGAAGTTTGAGATTTCTTCTGTGATATAAGAGGAGAAAAAGTGGAATTGATGAAAATAATGAATGGACATCACAGAAGAAATAAACAATTCTAAGTAAATGTCCATGTGTGCAGATTGTTTTATGGCAACCAGCCCAAAAATCACCATTTAGTACACTAAGTACTAACAACAAACCCTAAGGTAGATCAACAAAAGGGACATTTAACTCAGGGCTTGGTAAACATTAGTGAAAGAGGCAAATAGTATTTTTGCCTTTGCAAGGCCAATGGTCTCTGTAGGACCTACTCAAATCTGCTGTTGTAGCTTGAAGGTCACCACAGATGATATATTAACCCATGAATGGGGCTGGTTTTCCCTGGCCAGCCTCTGTGCTTTATCAGCCTCTACTATGACATGGGCAACCCATGAAGGATAGACACGCTCTGTGGTCTCATTAAATATCAAACTTACTGGGGGAAAAACAATTGTGAGTATGAAATGGGAGTGGGTGCTTAAGATACATCCATAAGACAAGCTGAGACAAGGGGAAAAGTGAATGTGGATTGGTATCAATGGATATGAAAGAATGATTGTCAAATCTCCTCAAGGTGAATGTGTTATTGAAGTAGGGATAAAGGGTCACCCAGTTTGTAACATTAACACGGTTCAGAAAAATATCAACAGAAGGTGAACACAAAACGATAGTAAAATATTCGTCATTGTTGAGGCTAGTTTGGTGAATACATGGGTGTCCACAATACTATTCTTCCCATTGTCCTCTTTGAAAGCTCTCAACACAAACATCTAGAAACTAAAAGGTCCTGGCTCTGCTACCTTACTGGGTGACCTTGAGCAAAATCCTGCATGTTGCTGTATGTCAGTCTCCACAAGTGTACCATGGAGGAAACGACATAGGATTGCTGTGAAGAGTAAGTGAACTGATACAGGTGGACAAGCTAAAAACAATGGCTGCGCAAAGTGTCCTCCATCATGAGTCCCTGCAGTGGGGCCTGACACATCCATAGCCCTGAGGGGAAGTTCTTAGTGCCCTGCACCAAGCCTGGCTCCCCGTGGGCTCAGTGAATGCCCACCACCTCCCTCCCCTCACAGAAGCATCCATGTGGTACAGACTCCTCTCCTCTCATGATTATTTCTCACTCTTCACCAGGGGTTTTCAGGCTAAAAGAAATGAAAACTGAAGGCCCATGCAAGCAAGGGGAAGTTATTTATTTTGAATGTGAGGTTTCCTTTGGGGTACCTGGCTGGCTGAAATGGTTGCGCGTGGGACTCTTCATCTCAGGGTTGTAAGTTTAAGCCCCAAGTGGAGTGCAGAGATTCCTGAAAAACTCTTTTAAAAAATAAACTAAAATAAAAAATAAATATCCAGTTTCCTTTAAATTTTCCCTTCAAGAAGGCTGTTAATTTCCTTCTTGTTAGGTTGTATTTCTAAACTGACCCATGAGGAAAATCAATGTCTAGGTCAAGACAATAGAATCTCGACTGCTAGTTTGGAAATGTAACCTGGTATCACAAAGACCCCCTTTTTTTGATACTTTAAAAATAATCCAAACTATCTATACGACTTATTAACTATGAGGTTGGACTAAAAGCAGGCATTGTAACAAGCATATGCATGTGTACCCATTAAATAAAACATTCCAGTCACTGGCCTGGCTCACACTAATTTACACAAACATCCACTCGCACTGGGAGCCCCCTGGATCACACAGACGAAGGAGCCCTGCCCACAGCCAAGTCTCAGCACAGGACTGATTTCTCCCTCTTGATTTTCCCTTAAGAAAGTAAAGGGATCTGTAGCCTGAGAAGCAGTCTCCCTGGACATATAATTTCACTGTATTTTAAAAGAAAGCAACCATTCCCATTCTGCAGAGGAAGGGCACATTCCCAAGACAATTACTCAGCTCTCTTTTTTCTCCCTCTAAGGTTTTTCCCAAAATAGTTCACTTGAACGCTATGAATCTCTAGCACTCTAGTAACCCATACCCGCCACCTTTGTTTCGGAGAGCACATCTGTATTCCCCAAACCATTGCTTGGCTCAGAGTTGAGATCCTAAGAGGGAAAAGTTCTGGTTGGGTCAGGGTGCAGCCCCAGGAGGGATGGATCTGGTATAGGCTCGTTAGGAAAACTTCTTACATTTGGTCTCTCCTTTGATGGAGGGATTGAGGCAGGACCTTGGGCCCAAGGAGGCACAGCCCTGATTCCTAGAACACAGTTCTATTGGCATCTCTGACTGTGGCCTGGCCTCTGCACCACAAGCCCTTGGTGTGACCCATGACACGATTCTCTCACCAGACAGGGCCTTGCATGACCTGCATGGAGCCATGTCCTCAGCCACCTCCCTGGCACTGGTGACCGGGGACAACAAGGGCATCGGCTTGGCTGTCCCGAGGGACCTGTGCCAGCAAATCCCCAGGGATGTGGTGCTTATGTCCCAAGACAAGGTGCCGGGCCGGTGGTCATGCAGCAGCTCCTGGTCGGGGGCCTGAGTCCCCACTTCCACCTGCTGGACATCGACACCCTGTAGAGCATCTATGCCCTGTACGACTTCCTGCACAAGGAGTACGGGGCCCTGGCCATGCTGGTCAACAACTCAGGCATCGCCTTCAACAGTAAAAACTTGGGAGCATGTAGGGCATGCTCCCTTAGGGGACCACCCGGGGTGGGTTGGGGATGGTGATTGAACCACTACTGTGGGACCCACAGCACCAACGGGATCTAAAACGGCCTCCCTAGGGAAGGAGGTCAGATTGGAGGTACAGGAGAGCAGAAGCCTCTGGGGGTGCAAGCCTTTCCAGCCAGAGCCTCTTGGCATTGCCATGGATCAGACTTTCAGGTAAATCACTAGATTTTTGCAAGTTTCTCTCTGATTGGATGTGACCATTTGGTGAATGTTTAACCTATTTTGCAATACACAACAAACTGCAAAGAGAGATACACAAATATCTCATTGTGCATCCTTCCCATTGCCTCCAAATTACAAAGCTACACAGCATCAACGCACCACATAAGTAACATTGGGTTCACGATGAATCATGGAACACTATGTCAAAAACTGATGATGTATGGTATGGTGACTAACATAACATAATTAAAAAAAACATACACACACTGGGTTCACTGATCCAGAAATTATAGAGAATTCACCAGATTACACATGCAAAAAAATATATATACATGTATATATATTACTGTCACTTCATGGGATCTTCTCAGATGGCTACTACTTTTTTTAAAAAATTTTCTTTTATTTATTTATTTGACCGAGAGAGACACAGCGAGAGAGGGAACACAAGCAGGGGGAGTGGGAGAGGGAGAAGCAGGCTTCCCACGGAGCAGGGAGCCCGATGTGGGGCTCGATCCCAGGACCCTGGGATCATGACCCGAGCCGAAGGCAGACGCTTAATGACTGAGTGACCCAGGTGCGCCTGGCTACCACTTTTTAATCTATTCTCCTCCTCCCCTAACAGCTGGTGATCCCACACCGTTTCATATCCAAGGAGAAATGACC